TGTTTTTCACACGTTTTTCAGGGTCATGAATTATTAAAAGAAAATTAAAAATGGGTTATTATTTATTCACAGCCTATCATGATACAGAAAAGCCGTTGTACTACATTCCTTAATATTCCTCCAATTCTTCCACATCATTTGTGGAAATGGGAATTTTAGTTTACAATGCTTTCTTGTAGCAAACTAGTGGTATTTTGATGTACACACACTCCCCTGAAGCTGATGAGGTATTCTATGGTATGCCACTTGATAACATTGTATAACTAGCATATAATATATATATATATACACTCGATTGCAGAAAGGTTGTTATACATTTATACAAATACCTAATTTATTCAGTATATTTAATGATATGCAAAACAGAAAACTCGCTTTATTCATTATTTGTTTCATTCAATGAACGTCAAAATATTTTATTCTTGTGTTTYAYATCCTACAGATTATAAATCAATTGGTTTTGAGGGTTAAAAAAGTAAAATTGCAATATGCATCTCATTAGGTATTTGTATAAATGTATATATGTATACTACAAGGTTTCTGCAATCGAGTGTATATATATATATATATATTAATAATACTTACATGATCCATAAGACTAGTGATGTTGATTGACAATCAAGATATTTTTAGCTATGCCTAGTTAATTCTGAAAGCCACTGCCTTAAAGATCTAATTTTTAATAATACTATTTTTTGTCATGTAAAATATTCAGGGCATATATATTAGGGAAATAAATGAAGTTGTTGTTGCCATACAAGACTTCCTTATCTGTTGATTTGCAATTTGGTAAGAGGCTTTTAGGTGAAAAGACATGGTCAAAATGGTTACAAATATTCATCACTATGTTTTGTATGTAAGGCAGGGCACAGAGATGGGGCACAGGCTCAACAGCACTATCTCAAATATGAATGGTCCCTTCCTAAAGGAAAACCTGATTATAATATCATTGGCTTTTAATGTACTTGCAAAGAAAGAAATAATACTCACCTATTTGGCTTGAGATCGTTAAACAATATATACAAAACATATTCCTTAAAAATATCTAAATATTTTAGTTAAGACATTAAGAAAATTATGAAAATTTAATTTCCGCAGATCATTTTAGTGAGTTGGAGAGCCATACAAAAAGTTAAATTTTCCAACTCTCGGCATAAGAATGAAATTCTTCTGTTTTAATAGCTCTTCAAACTGATTTACTCGGAACCTCTGCAAGGATCAGAGTACAGTCAATTCAAAAAATGTTGGCGTCAACCAACTCAATCCTACACGACTGGACCGAAAGGAACTCTGGGTAGTAATCATTGAAGTCGAGTTGAATCCATAATTTTATCTGACTAGTTTGATGCTTGGTTTACAGCACGAACCTTCGTAGGTGAGCGGGAAGTGTTGAAGGAGACGTTTTCTTAATGCCTTCATATTTCGAAATTGTGAATTGAATCATAACTACTTTGTTTTTTCCCTACAACCAAAGACATGCATTTGATGGATTGTTTCTTGCTATTATTATCTTATTACTAGCGGGAACAATTAATTCAGAATGAATATTTAACCGCTTCAGTGATTTTTACCCATATCCATTTCGGTCCAGTCGTGTAAGCTTGAGCCGGTCGACGACAAAGTTTTTTGAATTGACTGTATATTCCATTACTAATGCTGACTTGCAATCAATTTATACTTTAGCTTTGCAGTGTAAACCCATAATAGGGTAAGGGGATTGTCAAAAACACTAAAATCATGAGACCTGAGTCAGTTGATTATGAAATAGATCCATAGTAGGCATAACTGCTGAGATCATCGTTGATTTCCTCTGGAGGCAAAAAACTATCTGGGATAGGTTGATAGGAGAATGAATGTCTTGTTGATGTCAGTATATGACTTGTTTTGCTGGAAGAACAAAACAAGAAAAAAATTATTCACCAAAGAAGGGAAGAAGGTAGGAGGGGAGGAAGGTAG